ATAACAAACGTACCAACGTTTATATATTTGCTTACCGGGCTCGCCGCAGTCAGCGCACCGGCTGTTGTCTGACTGTTTCACCAGTTCCAGTAAAATCTTTTTGTTCCGCTCACGGTTTGCCATTTCTCTGCACAGTCAGGCTCATACACTGATGGATCCCGCGGTTGAACTTGAGCGTGGCGGTCACATGGTTCGACAAACAACAAAAGGCGACTAAGAAAAAAATTAAAAAGAAAGAAAAAGTGGAACTTGCGACAGAAGAGCTTTGGATGTCTCAACGCGAAGCGGACCGCCTCCCCCTGGAGCGCGTCCAGCTGCGAGCTTGTCACAGAGGGTGCTCCCTTTGATTTTTTTTTTTAAATAAACAATGCACCTTTGTGCACAGAGCACACCTGCTACTCTCTGTGATGAAGGTAAAGAGGAAACTAACCACAAACCGGTCTGCCCGCCGCGCAGATGCGAGCACATCAGCGCGCTGCTAATTTACACGGAAGTCTGTTAAATTTAGCAGATTTATGACACCTTTAGGCTTGTTTGGATGATAAACGTTTATTGCTGTGTAAGGAAATCCCCACTGTGGTGAAGAAAGTGTCCATATTTAAAACATTAAAGAGAGCAAAATGACTGATGATGTCACAGTAAGCTTTAGATCAAGAGCTGCACGTCTTTATTAACTGTATGAACCAAAAAAATAATAAAAGAAATAAATCAGTGACAATTTACACAAATACAGAAGCAAGATTTATTTTACATGTTAATCTCTTACAGGTGGTGTAAAGCATGGAGTGCGTGAAGTCGTTTTGGTTTTTTTAAAAATTCCTTTAATTGTAAGTTATTGTGCAGAAAGATGTGCTTGGCTGCAGACATCTGAAGCTGCCAGACATGCATGTGCACTTCGATTCAGTAACTTACAAATTATATTTTGCACACACCCACACACGAGGGACCCCAGGGGCTTAGTAAGAAAAAAATTCTACTTCATAAAAACAGCACTTTGCAAAATAAAAACCACCGATACGCATCCCTATAGAGCACTACTGTACAAAAATATAAAGATGACAAAATTGTAAAATTTTAGTTTTTAGAGCACCAAAAGATGACACAAGTGAGGTTAGTTAGTTGTCCGTCCTTTAGCTCAGATTAAATCTTTACTATTCAGTCGCCTCTATGTTGGTACCAATGTGGAAGCGGTCCTCTGTGCTCATGCGCCTCTCACCGTGTGCTCTGTCACCATCTCAGAGGATGACACACACTTATTTATTTAGATCTGTACACCAGTCCTTCTGAGAGCCAGAGAGTACTTATTGAAGGCCTGTGTGTGACTGTGGAGTCCAGTCTGGTCGTCTTTGTTGTTTTAGGGGAAATCTTCAGCGAGCAGCTGTAGAGTCCTTTTTTCGAGACCCAAGTGGATCGCGTCGAGGTAGTGCAGAAACCTGGAGGAGGCGGAAAATAAACAGCTCAGCATTATCTGTGGACTCATATAAATGACTTTGCATTAATGCACCACATTTTATTTTATTTATTTGTAGCCTCATATTCAAATGTGACAAAATGAAACCTCACTACCACCATCGTCATCTTTACCACATCCTGCCAACGGTTTGAATCCAAACCCGCCACCGCTGACCAGCTGAAGGAGCAGCAATTCTGTCCTCACCTTCGCTTAACTTTGCCTTGCTCCTTAAGCTTCTCAGATCTGCAGATGCAGCGCATGATTGGTAAATAGTCCAGAGCAGCTGGTGGACTGTTGCCAAGAGTACCAAACACTCCTTTCAGCATCAGACTCTCCATCACTTCTCTCCTCCGCTCAACCAACCTGGAAAGCAACACCGGACATCAACGTCAGCTAAAACCATTGAAACTACTTTTACACGTTTGTTGGGCAACGTGGCATTTTCTCAGGGTCCAAACTCACTGTGGCTCTGAGGGCCCGTCATGTGTGAAGCTGAAACATTCCCGATGAGCAGCCACGGGGAGGCTGAGCTCTGCTGCAGCCTCTTTGGCCAGCTCCCCTTCCAGCTGTCGTGTTCTCTCCAAAGCCTCCTCTGCCGATACCCGGAACTTGCGGAAGCTCAGAGCCTCGACCGCCGCCTGGATCTCCAGGCCAGTTGCTGTCATCGAGCTCCCTCTTTCGATCTCCACACTTGACTCGTCTGTCATCCCATCTTTTATGACCACACTTACAGATGACAGACCTCTGTGACTGTCAGCCCTGTCGAGCAACGAGTCCATGTAGGACATGCTGTCTAAGAAGTCTGCTATTGATTCCAGACACTGTGACACTGGGAGGCTTTTTAAGCGCTCCTCAGGAGTCAGTGGCTTCCTTTTAGCCCTTTCTGAAGCTTTGACTTTCTCTTTGGCCTGAGGAGCGTTCTGAGGCTTACAGAGAGAAAGAAATCTATCTTCTGAGTCTGAGTCAGAGTCAGCTCCAGCTTGGTCAGGTAGATTGTGTCTCCTCTTGTTCTTCCTCATCCTG